TGTGTGTGTGTGTGTGTGAGAGAGAGAGAGAGAGAGAGAGATGCTGGTGGGGGAGTGTGGAAAAGCAATTCGCTTTCATATTCCCATTCTTTAAGATCAGATTTTGAACAGCCCATCTGTGATAACTTAGTATCTTTTTTCTTCAAACTGGAAACTAATACATGGAGGTTGAATTGATGTACCTCTTCCTTAGACAACTTTGAGGAATGCCGAAGGCACATATAAAGTCAGGCAAGTTCAAGAAGTGAAAGTCGCACCCTTCTCAGTGTGGAATTAGCATGAAGGAGGACAAAGCATGAAACCCCAGGAAAAGAAACTTCTGTATTCTGGAGTTTGGAAGAACTTCAGCATGGAGAATTTATCCTGTGCAAGGGCAAATTCTTTCTTTGATACAGTGGAAAGCATTGGCCTTGCTCAGCTCCCTTCTGTTGAGTTCCATGGGCCTGGATTTCCACAGAATTCCTATTTATAACACCACGGAGGTGCTGAAGAGCTGTCAGAGCCGCACTCAAAGCTTACCCGAAGCACTCACGTTTCCTTTCAGCTGGCCTCTGGTTACTGAAAACATTTGCTGGAAATTGCTGTCCCACTCAAGAACTGTCAAAGGTAATTGTGTTGCGCAAAAGTTACTGAGAAACATGAAATAATATGGTTACCACCTGGCGACCAAATTAATAGAACCTGTCTGATGAGCCTCAAGCCCGCCACATGTGTACATGCCCGTTTCTGTCTGAAAACCACGACAGCATAAATTTGTGAGGAAGACGTGTATCAGAGGCCTCTTAGTGGCAATTTACGATACAAATCCCTATGTAAAGGGCAGTTGTCAGGTCACCCAATCCAGTGAGGTCTGCGGTTCTAGGGGTGGCAGACAGGGAAAAGATGGGGGGGAGAATTAAGCACTTTGAGAATGTGGATCTGTGTGAAGCAAGTAGGTCTAGACTTGGCTATGCTCACAGCTGGCAATGACCTTGGTGTCTACGAAAATAAAAATCAGAGACTCAGGAGCTGGGGGGGAGGTGGCTAGAGAGGCTTTCTGAGTCTCCATCCCCTGCCCTTTGCGGCTGGCCCACACCTTGCCTGTCCAGATGAGCAGGAATCTCTTTTCCTCTTAAAATTCCCAGAGAAGGAAATCCTCCTCATTCTTGGTTGTCGTTTTCAAAGTCTCACAACCTCCTTGAGATCGCTTCGCCTTCACTTGAACTTATAAGACCCCACGAAACTCTCCACAAACAGGTCCCTCTATTCATGTGGCAAAAACTCCACTAGGACCCCAACTCCACTTGTGGGTTCCCCGAGGAGCATCTAGTTCTGCCTGAAACTGTCTTTTTGGGTCAGAAATTGTGGCTGTTTGGGTCTGAATCTAATGCCGGAGTCAGTGCCCTAACCCAGTAGTCAGGGCGAGGCTCAGAAAAGATGCACTGAAACCAGGAACTTCCAACTGTGGGATTGATGGTCCACAGCGGAACCATCTTGACATCCTTAAAGCAATCAACCAATGTTAGGAGTACCTGCTCTTTTTATCTTTGATAATATTCACAGTTGGGTTTTCGAGGTAAAAAAAAAAATGTTTTCTTTCTCAAGCTGTCTCTAAATTGAAACCAGGGATGAAATATAATTCATGAGACCCAGTGCAAAGTGAAAATGTGGGGCTCTTTTTCCCAAAAAGCAGGGGAAAAGGGTTTTTTTTTTTTGCTTCTTCTGTGACCTCTCTCAACCTCTCATGGTGTTTTTTTAAAATTTCCTTTTTAATGTCACATTCCCTCAGTCATGGGGATACTTGTGGGGTGAGTGTAGACCTCCATTGACACCTAGAGCCCAGCCTGGCCACCAAGTATGGGGGGGTGTGCATGCCCAACCCCAACCCTGCCTGCACCTGTACCAGGCCCATGGCGGGTGGGGGCAGGGGCAGAGGGAAGCAAGAGCCTCTCAGTGGGGGTTGGGGAGCAGGTAGCCAGGACACCTGCCAGGAGGTAGGTGGTGAGGAGGCGGCAGGAGCCAGCACTGCTCATGTGCCCCTTTCCTATTGGACTTCACTTACAAAATAGGAGTTCAAAGATAAAATTATTAAGATTTAAAAATGGTGACTGCAGTATTAAGCCCAAGCGCAGGACCCCCTTCTGAGATTAGGGCCCCGTGTGACTTCTCTGTAGCACACCAATGAAGCCAGGTCTGGTGGAAATTCATTCTCTGTTGGGATTGTGAAAGCATAACACAAATCCATGGAAATCTTATTGTTGGAATCTTCTTGCCTGATGACTGTGGTTCCCATTCTTTTCTATGTAATTTGTTATTAATTTTTGGAAGCCTTTAGGATCTTCTCTTTAACCTCAGTATTCAGAAATTTCTCAACTGTGCCCCTTGGTGTAAATTTCCATTTGTTGTCTGGAGCTGTCAGAGAACTTCCAGTGTGGAAACTCCCGTCTTTCTGTTCTGGGAAATTGTCTAGCACGGTCTCTTTGATAACTTTTCTCCTTTTTCTCTGTTCTCCCTGCAACTCTTGTTCCTGGATACTGGCTTAGTTCTCTAACTTGCTTCCCTTAGTTTCTCTATGTTCATTGCCTCTTCCCTTGGGGAATTTTGCTCAACATTGTCACTTTTCTATTAAATTAAAAAATTTCCACCATCATATATTTTTATTTACAAGAGCTCATTTTTTCTCTTTATTTTTTCATAGCAACCTATTCTTATTTTGACCCGCTATTGTTATCACTTATTTGAGAATACTAATCATATTTTCAATATTTCTAAAAAATTTTTTAAAGCAATTTGTATCCTATTGCCCTTTTCTTTTTTTTTCTTTCTTGTTTTTAAATACATTTTTATTGATTTCAGAAAGGAAGGGAGAGGAAGAGAGAGATAGAAACATCATGAGAGAGAATCATTGATCAGCTGCCTCCTACATGCCCCCTACTGGGGATTGAGCCCACAACCTGGGCATGTGCCCTTGACTGGAATCGAACCCGGGACCCTTCAGTCCGCAGGCCGGCACTCTATCCACTGAGCCAAACCAGCTAGGGCTAAAAAATTTTTTTATTGATGGCTTGATTTGAGAGAGAGAGAGAGAGAGAGAGAGATATTGATCTGTTGATTCACTTTTATGCATTCATTGGTTGATTCCTGTATGTGTCCTGATCGGGGGATCAAATGCAAGGTTGGCCTATCAGGATGACACTCCAACCAACCAAGCTACCCAGCCAGGCCTATTTTCACTACTTTTATTCGTTTCTGTGTTTCTTTTCTACTTGTTTATCTTATTCTTTCATGTTGGAGAGGTTTCACAGTTATCTGGTGATGTGTTTATGTGGTATGATAAAAATATTTGGTCTCTGTCCCAGTTTCCTCCTCACAGAACTCTTAAAACCCTTGGGATCAGAGTAAGAAGAGTGTTTTTGGTATGCTAATGAGATGACTTTTGGCTGAGGGGCTCCTGGATAGCTTCAGGATAGTGTCTGGTCTCCAGAAAAACCAAGCCATGATTAGAGGGTTGGGATTCCAAGCTCCACCCCCTGATCTCTGGGGAAGGGAGAGGGATCTGGAGATTGAGTTCAATCACCTAAGGCCAATGATTTAATCAGTTTATGCAATGAAACTCCCTTAAGCACCCCTACACCATAGAGTTCAGAGAGCTTCTGGGAAGGTGGACACATTGAAGTGCCAGGGGTGGAAGCTGGCACACGCCTCTCTTCCATTTGATTGTCTCTGAGTTGTATCCTCTCTAGTAAACTGGTAATACTAAGTAAAGCACTTTCCTTGGATATTTTAATTGAGTTGTTGCAGCAAATGATCAAACATGAGAAAAGGGTCATGGGAACCCCTGATATACAGCTGGTTAGTCAGAAATACTGGTGGTGGAGACTTATGGTTGGCATCTGAAGTGAGGCAGTCTTATGGGACAAGTCCTTTATTTTTATTTTTTAATTTTTTTTTGTATTTCTGGACAATTCTTATTCTAACATGTTTTAATATTGTCACAGTGTCCCTTTCACAACTGTAGTTAAAGAATTGTTTCACAGGTTGTTAAATAGACATAGAACAATGGCTTGCTTTGAATTACTTAAAAAATATCAAACACAGACACACACACACAAAGGTTTTGAGAATAGATAACTAGATCAATAGATTTTATTTCTTAATATAGCAGCAACGCCCTTCTTAGAAATAACTACCACTACTTATCAAAATACATATTTTTCAACTAAAATCTACATATTGAATGTAGATTTCAATGAGTCATTTCCAGTGAAGTTGTCATCCTTCCTTATCTTAAACAAGGTCTGGGTAGATAAAGAAGCATGTTGAGTCACATTTTATCAATACTCACAGGATTTAAATGATTCTTTCGCAATGGGACTGAGCCCTTTAACGGTGGGACCTGAACAGATGGACACCTAGTTGGTGTCAGAGAGTTGGGTGCCGGGAAAGACAGCATGTATTTGATGTCAGAAGGAAAACCTCAGTCTGTAGTCAAGGGTGAGGAGGCTACACTATGACCAAGGATGGAGCATTTCTCTAAATCTCCCCATACAGTGATGGGGAAGTGAATCACCGATTCATTGAAGAACTCTCAAATGTCATTATCCATCGGTATGTTTTCTGGACTGTTTTAGAGGAGAATCTGAATCTCTAGCTAGTGTGTGTGTGTGTGTGTGTGTGTGTGTGTGTGTGTGAGAGAGAGAGAGAGAGAGAGAGAGAGAGAGAGAGAGTTCTGGAAGCGGGGTGAGGAAAGGGCTTGGGGAGTCCACAGTATGACACGTAGACATTTCACCCTGCTTCATCTCTGCATTTCTCTGGGCCTGCTTCCCACGCCTCATTACTCCGAAGAATAAACCTCCAACTTGCTGCCAGGAAGTAGGGAAAGGGCTGCTGCATGAACGCACACGTGAGCGGAGACATGATGGGTTCAACCACACTGTGGGCCAACTTCCAGCAAACGCCCTTTTTCGCTGTGAGCTTTGTTCTCACCTTCCTTTTCAAATATTCATTTCTTATAAACACTGAGCAACCCAGAGGTTCTTCGGGGTGAAGCAGATCTGTTCCCACTTGTCTGCAAGCAATTGGCTTTCTCCTTTCTTCGTTCTGCCAAGGTAATTACCATTCCTCCATCCATTTCTCACCTCCCAAAAATTTGTTGAAAGCATTTATGGCAAATTGTCTCTTATTCTCTTTGACCTTGTTGATTAATTTGGTTTTTTTTCAAATCCCCTGGCAGTCATTGTAAGGAGATTTGAGTAGGAAGAAAAGATAGTCCTGGTGAATTCCACGATTTTAAACCAGAAGTTTCCTTCAGAAACCTTAATCCTTACTGAAGTCTATACCCATGTACTTTACTCTTAGGCTAATCCTTGCTGTTTACTAAGTAAAACAGCAAATAATTGAGAGAAATAGCAAATTTCAGTCTATTTCTCAAAGCCTGTTTATGCATAAGTGTAATTATAATAATGTTGGTTGTTTAGTTTCCTAGCTTTTAGTAGACTAGAGGCAGAATTTTAATAGAATGTTAGACCTAAGTGTGTCTATATCCAGATAGATATTTTGATACAATCAAGAATAGCTGGCAAACCAAAAGGTAACAGAAAAATTATAATAACTAGTCAAAAACACGTACTATAATAGCACTACGGTTTTTATAGGTACAAACAATCCTACACATTTCAAAATGCATTGATGCACTAAAGTGTAATGCTGCTGTCATCCTCCTATTACAAAACCTTCTAATGGCTCCCACTGTGGATAGATGTAAGTTCCATCTATGGCCAAACATATGACCTGTGGTTCCAATGTTTTAAAACACCCTGCTCTATTTCACACCTATCATTTCATTTCAGCACTGTGAATTTCTGAGCGCGGCACACACCTTAGCATGCCCAAATCATCCTTCAAGACCCATTTGAATTCTCATAATGTTCTCTCACTCCTTTCTCTTCTGTGTTCCGATAGTACTTGTTCTGATTTATATAATAGCACTGTATTTTGCCAAGAACTTTGAACTTATACACCTGCCTTACCTCTCCAACAGGATCATAAACACCAAATGGCAAGGGCCATTGCAATGAACAGAATGTGTCCACCTCCCACCCCAAATTTATGTTAAAACCCTTCTCCCAGTGTGATGATACTTGGAGATGGGGATCTTTGGGAGGAGATTAGCTCATGAGGTAGGGCCCTCAAGAATGGGATCAGTACATTGATCAGAAGAGGCCAGAGAGCTAACTAGCCCTCTGCACAGGTGAAGATACGCAAAGAAGTTGGCAGCCTGCAAACCAGGAAGAGGGTCCTCACTGAGAACTGAACCACGCTGGCACCCAGCTTTCAGGCTTCCTGCTTTCAGAACCGTGAGAAATAAATGCTTGTTGTTTATACATCACCCAGATTATGATATATTTGTTATAGCAGCCCACACTGATTCAGACAGACATTAATCTTGGCATAATGCCTTGTCTGTAAATGCTCCTGAATCACTTAGTTGAACCTAATAAAAAATACAATAATTGATGTTTCAAATGATCATCCTTAGTCCTGAAGGAAAGGTCAAATAAGAATCTGTATGTTCTGTTTAAGAAGAAGATAAATGTGTAATACATTTTTCAAGATTTCAAAAATAATAAAAATGAAACAAGAAATAAATTTTTATAATGTATAAAGGGCAACATTACCTTCAATTGATCATAAAATTTATTTCTTGTTGAAAGAACAATGAGGCTTTTTTTTTTCACATGGACAACAATCATTTTATACCACCAAGCTGTTTAGGTTTGAACATTATAGCTTACAGATGGGACATCAGCTTAGTCTCTTTAAAAGGAGGCAGTGGAAAGGGGATGTGGCAGGTGGGAAAAAATGTGAATATTTTTATTTCAGTACGTTTTGGAGAACAGCTATGTGTTCCTTGACATAACTGACCTGTTCCCAAAATATTTGGGATCAAACCCTATCTTGCCATGGACTCATGTTGCAATTTCCAAGGTGCTTTTATCTTTGCTTTAGATTGATCTTTGATTAGGTGTGACTCCTGACACATTTGCTTTAAATTTCTCTCTCCTCCCCTGTCAAGTGGTTAATGATCTCAAAATGTCACACTGCATTTTGTAGATTTCCCAGGAAGTCAAGTGTGGGTAGAACTGTAAAATAAATATAAAATGCAGAATCACTGTATTGGTGGTTTCTACACAGACATGCTGGGCCAGTTCCATGGCTATGTAACTTGCACAAATTGTGCCCAGGGGGGCCGAGTGCTTGGTTGAATGCTCTGCTGTTGTTATCTTGACATTCTTAATAATTTTATCCTTTAACTTGTGCTGTGTAAGTGAAGTCTGACGGGGCAATCGAGATATGTGCACAAGGGATCTGTACAATGTATGGGCCTGCTGTTCTTTGCTGCCCATTTGCAGGTAGTGTTTGCCAGGGCCCATGAGCATAGGACTCTGGTAGACCCGTGATGCATGAAGTTTTGGCAAGACTGAAAACATGTATGTCTACAACATGCAAAGCAAACTTTAGCCCTTACAGCCCTGGGAGGCCACACTTTCTGTTCATACCAGAACTTGCTTCCAATGCAGAAAGAAGAACATGGTTTTATAAGAAACATGAATGATCAAGAAAACTTATATCCTATATTAGCCGACTATGTATGCTGAAAATAACATCATCACTAAGCCCAAAGTAGGGTCTGTTGGTCGTTTGAGAATGTTTAAAGAAGTAAAATTAAAACATTTGAGTCTGTTTCTGCAGCATTTCCTCTGTTCTGGTAAGAACAAAATACATATGGATATATACAAGTTATGAAATACAAATTGCATAATTTTGGTGATTCCTCCCACAAGTTAAATGGTCTTGCACTTGCACTTAAAACTGGTGTTTCACAATGTAAAGATAAATGGTAAAATTCATACTAATAACTTAAAATTTTATTTTAATTGTCCTTTACTTAAATAGCAGATAAAAAACATCATGACAGGTCAAGAACGAAACCATGAGAGGAAACAGCTTTATATTTTAGTAACTTTAATGATACTTCTTCCATGCTTTATGAACAAGGGCCCCACATTTTCGTTTTGCACTGGATTCTACAAATTACATGGTTGGTCCTACAGGCAAGTATGACTTTGACGGGCAAAGTCACAAGCTAGTACAATTTTGAAGTAAGGATTGTAAACTCTTCTTGAAAAACTAGAATGAACATTGTCAGGGATTGTCCAAGATGGGATACATGTTTTGTGATCTCCAGGGACACAGTCAATGAGTATCCCACGATGGCCAGGGCCCGAGAGAGGAAGCCACGTTGGGAATTACCTGAGAATCAGCCCACTCATGGTCATGAAACATGTTCCAGTCTCATTACACTCAAGTCAACCAACCCATTTGCATCCTGACACAAACTATTCCAAGTTGAAGACCAATGACCCTTTATTCATTCCACATATATATGTTGGTCATAGAATATTGCACAGTGAACAAGACAGTCACAGTCCTTGTCCTTTTGGAATTCAGAGACCAGAGTCATAGAATATAACAAAGAAGGGAGTAAACACACACACGCAACTTAAAAAAATATATATATAATTTCAGAGAGGAAGGGAGAGGGAGAGAAGGATAAAAACATCAATGATGAGAGAGAACCATTAATTGGCTGCCTCTTGCATGCCCCCTACTGGGGATGGTCGGGCATATGCCCTTGACCAGAATCAAACCTGGGACCCTTCAGTCCATAGGCCGAGGCTCTATCTACTGAGCCAAACCAGCTAGGGCCACACAAACAACTTAAAAGCACTATGGAGTTTCCTGTTTATAGGAATTTTTATTAGTCATCAAGAACCTTCCATTGTAAGTGACAAAAATACAACAGCCCTCATCTCAAAAATAAAACAAGTGGAAGATTATATAACCCAAGTCACATGAACTATGAATGGGGCAGAGGTGATGCTCCAAAAGAAAACTAAGGTGACTTTATCAGAACAGGGAGATGGAATACTCCACTACAGAATCTTTAAATAAACCTTTTGATGATGTAAATAATCACTCCTATTTCTACTGGAACAGGTACTTTAAAATGTTGGCATGACGGCTTTTCTTAAAGCAGGAGATTCCTGAATGCTCTTGCTATTTTTGGCTGTGTCTGGAATCTGGAGAACAGCACCACTGGATGGTTGGAAATGTCAATCTGAGACTTGGGTAAAATACCAAAAAAGTTGAACAATCCAAAGCAGGCAGGAAAGTGGAAATAGGGGATTGAGAAAACAAAGGAACAGACATAGATAATTAGAAGATGTTTTAAACTAAACAAAAATAAAAATACAACATATTGAGACTGTGGGATGCACCCGGGTGGTGGTGTGGCTCAGTGGTTGAGCATTGACCCATGCACCAAGAAAGAGGTCACAGGTTCATTCTTGGTTAGGGCACACACTTGGGTTGCAGATTTGATCCCCAGTAGGAGGAATGCAGGAGGCAGCAGACAGATGTTTCTCTCTCAGTGATGTTTCCATCTCTCTTTCCCTCTCCCTTTCTTCTCTTTCTAAAATCAATAAAAACTTATAAAAAAAGACTGTGGGATGCAAATAAAGCAGTTCTTAGAGGGACCTTTAAAGTATTAAATGCTTATGCTAGGAAATAAGAAAGGTCTCAAATCAATTTAAGCTTCAAGCTTGAGAAACCAGTAACAGAGGTAAGTACAACAAACTCAATGCAAGCAGAAGTAAAGAAATCATATAGATATGAACACAAATCAATGAAACTGAAAACAGAAAAACAATGAAAAAATCCATTAAACTAAAAGGTGGTTCTTTAAACAGGTCAATAAAATTTATAAACTCTAGCATGATTGATAAAGAGAAAAGGCAAAAATTAACAATGTCAGGAATAAAAGAGGAGACCCTCTCTTATTATATAGGAGATCCTATATAATAAAAGCCTAGGTGGCATCATGCGCAACATAATCACAAGATGGCCACCCCAAGATGGCTGCCACAAGATGGCCGGCAGGGGCAGGCAGTTGTGGACGATCAGGTCAGCAGGGGACGGCAGTTGGGGGCGACCAGGCCAGCAGGGGAGGGCAGTTGGGGGAGATCAGGCCAGCAGGGGAGGGCAG